TTATCCTACACTACGGACGCCCTAGTGTATGCACAGTCCTTGTGATGTGAGAAATGCTTACCCCTCTTTCCAGCGCAAGGCATACATAAGCGGGGGGTAAATTTACCCCCCAGATTTGCAATAACCATACACCGGCTATTTCCTCAAGACACTCTATTCCATATACCTTTTACCCGTGCTTCTCCTACACTACGGACGCCCTAGTGTATGTACAGTCCGTATGATGTCAGAAATGCTTACCCTCTTTCCGACTCAAGGCATACAAAAGCGGAGGGTAAATTTACCCCCCAGATTTGCCGATCACGCATCTTCGTGCCTGCCAACGAGTGCACCCGGGTTGTTCCAATGTACCCTTCCCAGTCAGCGATGTCACATTTACATTCTTTAGCGCAAAGTATGTACATAGCAACCTTCCTCCCAAAACATGTCATCCCTACATGCTTTGCCGACTATGTAACTAGTACATCCGGTGCGATTCGGCTAGCTTTCGACCTCTCCCCCTGGCCTCAAGTCGTACTTGATTCACCTGAACTGTTCTCCAACCAGGAAATCTTGACCTTTAACTCAGAATGCCCTGTTCGCCGCTCAAGCTTCATGCAGCCGTGGGTCGGGGAACTCCTCCGACTCCTGAGTTTTGGGAGCGCGTCTAGCTGGTTCGGCTTGGCTTGCCCTGCACACTGTTCGGCCTCAAGCCTTTACCTGGCTTGCTTCCTCGTGACAGGTTTCTGCCTCGGCTTCTTGGCCGCGGCTCTCCTTGTCCTCTGGCTCCACCTGCACTCAGGGCCTCCGGGATCTCCACCTGCTGCTTTTGGGCAGCGCTTCGACCGGGTTCCGACCCCTTCATTGCGCCTCTCGGCGTATTTGCATGAGCGCTCAGGCCGCTCTCCACATCTTGATTGAGGCTGTACGAGCATCCGCTCGCGCTCTACGGGGCCTAGCTGACAATCTTGAGAGGGCTGCTGCCGCAGCAGAGAGGGGGCCATCCGCTGGATCTGACAGGGTCACTGAGGTCTCCACCGACACTATCGATTGGGACCTGGTCACTGAGGCATTGGAGGCGGAAAGAGATCAGCGCACCGGTGCCCCGTGCACCAACTTCTCGAGCTATCACGACGTCGAGAAGAGCATTCCCCCCTTGCCTGATCACTGTGTGGATCTTTGTGGCCGTCTGGGTGGCACCATTGAGGACGTCAAGTCCCGAGCTACTCGAGCTTGGATTGCCGGTTGTTGGGCCAAGGCCACATTGGAGGGAAAGATCCCAAAGCCTCGACCTACCCCAAAGATTGCACTGCAGGCCACCACCTACATCATCCTCAAGGGTCCAAGCGTTCAGCGACCGACCAGAGTCTCTTCAGCGGCAGAGTATTTCAAGCTCCTGCCACGTTTCGAGAACTCCGTCAGCCATTCGTTCCCAAGCCAAGCTGAGGCCAGGGTCTACTGCCTTGCCGCTGGAATTAGTTTTCCTGAGGCCGAGCAGTAGAGATGGCGACAGGTGGCCCGATTCAGTTTTTGGACCAAGGAGTTCTCCAGACCTATGTGATGGGCTTGGACCTCACTGCATGGGATGGGGAGTGGTCGGAGAGTTTTGCAATCCCAGTTTTGAGCCGGCAGTCGGGGGTTCTGATTGCAGTACCAGAGGGAGCTTTTTCTCCGGAGGTTCTCCAGGCTGGAGCTTTTGCAGCGATGGACGACCTTGTAGGCCCGTCGACGAGGGTGACACTGCCTGCTGTCTTCGAGGAGTTGGACGGGACAGAAACACCCCACACAGAAGATATTCCAGTTGTTTTGATAGACTTCCACAAGAACATCTTGGAGAGCATTCGAGGCTTCGACCCAGTCACAGAAGGACCCGGCATCCGTTGTTTCTCGCCACCACACATGGAAATTTTGCCAGAGTCCAATTCCCTACTTCTTGCGGCTTACGCCTATGTGGAAGGGGGTACAGAGGGAAGGACTCAATTCTATTCGGCAGAAGAGACACAAATTCCCCCCCCTGCCTGTGACCCCGGCACCAAAGGCCTCCTCGAGGCAGCCCAAGGCGAAGGCCTCCCCTGGTGGGGCTTCCACTCCCAAGAGGGTTACTACGGCAACGCTAGGCGAGCAGTTAGCAGAGATCTCCAAGGTGCTCCCTGCTATGTCCTCCCAGCTGGAGGCTATGACCCAGCGCCAAGACAGGGTGGAACGCCTGATGAGCTCTGCACCTCAAGCCTCATCCAAGGAGCCTCCGGCTCACAAGCAGGACTCCAGAGTGGGCAGCCCGCCAAGGTCCAGACCACTGGCCGATGCAAACCCAGAGCCCCGGAAGACCGTGGAATTCACGAATGTGGACGAACCTCTCGCCCTGCCCTAGATCCAGACTACCCCGGAGGAGAACAGAGCATTCCAGCTCTTCCACAACCAGAGGCGCTCTCTGCGGCTCTGTTCCAGCACTCTCAGGCTTTGACGACTCTTGTGGCTCACTTAGCGGGTCAGGATGGCATGGAATTTGGCGCGACAGCAACAGGCTCAGCCCTCAGTTTGAAGGGTTCGCTGAAGCGGGACAAGCTGCTCAGGGACCTGGCAGAGAGGCGAGGGAACTTTTTCCTCAAGGTGTCACAAAATGCCTTCCGGCGCCTCAGGCCCTCAGAGCTCGTCCCTCAGGAGATCTCTGCCCTTGGAGGACGTGCCCTTTTCTCGAAGTACATGGAAAGAAGCGGTGGCTATTCTGGTCAGAGAGACCTGGGCCTCACTATGTGGCTGCTCAGCCAGATGGCGGATGCATTCCTGAACGAAGATGCAACCGGGGCCCAAGAACTGCTAGCACTGACTATGGTGACTTTGGAGCAGGTGGCTCAGGACTCTGGAAAGTGGGAAGTAGGGTGGATCTTGTCACTGCAGGAGGATCCTCCTCCGGGTGTCTTCCAAGCAAGGCCCACCACGACGAATCCCAGGCTCCGAGCCTTTGCCCCTCTTTGTCCGCCGGAGTGGGCCACCACGGCGTTGTCCTATGTCAAGGAGGTCGACCTGATAAACTCCAGGAGACAAGAAGCCCTGCCAGGAAAGAAGAACCAGCTTGGGAAGGAACAGGACGACCAGGCGGGCCCCAAGAAGAAGCCCGCTCGCTACCCCAAGAAGCCCAAGCAGGGAGGAGACACATCCAGCCAGTGAAGGTTGATGACGAACAAGTTATCCTTTCAGGCGATGATGGACCCCGCCTTCAGGGCAAAGGCACGCATGACAGCCAACCAAAGGAGGCTCAAAGCCCTTGTTCCGGGTCCCGAAAGGTGACCTGCCGGGAAAAGCTTCCTACCAGCTCCTCTCAGAACCCAGCTCCCTCAGGCCCGTCTGGAGAGCCCCTTTGCTGCGCTCTTCTACCTCAGAACGGCCAGGCCCTGCCTGGACTGTTGCCTGCGGTCGGGGGGCTCTCCGGACATAGTGCCTGCTACAGTCAAGGGAGCGGGAAAGCTGAGAGTACTGAGCTTCCGACACCCTCGAGAGAGGAGAAGAAGACAGGGCTAGTCCCCGATGAGGAACCACTTGAGGCTCTCTGGGACAGGCTCCAGACCTACTCATTTGATAGTTGGGCTTCATCCCTCTGCTCGACAGTTTTGAGGTCCAGAACCTCCTTTGCGACGTTCTTGCGGACTACCTTCTGCATCACAAGACTGCATCCTTGCAGTTCTTCAAAAGCCTTGTTCCCGTTGCCGGTCCCGAAGCTTCTTCCGAGGAGGTAAGCATGGCTCCCGACAGAGGAAGAGGGTTGCTTTTGATCAGGCTCTCCACATTTGTGTGATGGCCCTGAACTACTGGCACGCAGATTTCAAGTTTGTCCCAGCCTCTTCTTTAGCAAGGGAACCAAGCAGGCCTCAGCAATCGGCTATCGACCACATCCGGAGGATGCTCAAGGCTTTCGGTAGCTCTGGAGAGACATTTGAAGTTCCTTCAAGCGGCCGTAGAATTACTTCACTGATCTCCCTTCTGGCAGACCTCTCAGACCTTGCTACCTGGGAGGGCGTTGGTGGAGATTCCTATTCCCGGACTTTCCCTGGAGCGCATGGTGGTTTGAAAGAAGGCCTTGATGTTGCTCGCAACCTGGACAGGGCAGATGAACTCCGTCCCTACAGAGACCTTCAGCCTGACCGCCTCAAGCTCTACGGCCATGCTCAGTGGGATCCGTCCCCTTATCTTTCAGATCAACTATGGATGGCATATGTCGAACCTTTCAGCATTCGCTGGGCCGAGGACCAGAGGACTGGCAATGCTCCAAATCTTACCAAAGAAGATCCAACTGGCCAGGATCTGGGACGTCAACGGCCTCCTGCTGATCAGGCCAGCTGATCAAGATGTCGATGTGTCCACCAGTATGAGGTTCTTCAATGCCTTCAAAAATGAGACAACGGACAGAATGATTGGCGACAGACGGTCCAGGAACTACGTTGAAGCCCGACTTCCTGGTGTCTCTGCTTGCTTGCCTTCAGCCCAGTGCCTCCTTGACCTTGAGGTTCGGCTCCCGTTCCAACGGCTGTCGCTGAATGTCACGGATCGAAAAGACTTCTACCACCAGCTCATGGTGACAAAGAGCAGAGCAGAGACAAATGGCCTCTACCCTTTCATCTCCCTCGAGGACGTCAAGGGAACAAAGGCCTTCGAGAGGTGGTGCCTCTCAAATAAAGGCCAAAGAGCGTATGACAGACTCAAGGAGGGTGACTATCTGGGGGAGCGGCCCAGGAAGAAGAAAGCTGCCCACAAGATGCCCTCCGCTTTCCAGGCATGCTTTGCTAGCATACCTCAAGGAGACCACCTTGGAGTAGAGATTGCCACAGAAAGCCATCGAAACTACCTCATCTCCAAAGGCCTCCTCCAGGAAGAGGAAGAGGTTAGATCCGGCCTCCCTTACCTTGGCCAAAAAGTTGCTTCTGGCCTCGTCATCGATGACTTCTTTTCCATCTCCGTCGAGGATGCCGCAAATGGAAGATGGCCTGATGAAAAGTCTGAGTGGATAGACACTGCTCAGGCACCTCAGGGAATCAAGCAAATCCTCCTGGCAAGAAAGGCCTATGCTGACGCGGGCCTTGAAGGATCTCCTCTCAAGGACCTAGTCGATGAAGAGAAAGGCAAGATCATTGGGGCCGAGGTTGACTCGTCATCACTGACCAGGTCTCTGGGGCTAGTTCTGGTCGCGGCTCCAGTCCGAAAGCGCCTCGCCTTGTCCTACATCTCCTTGGAGCTGGCAGCAAAGGACACGACTTCCGATGCGCTGCATGCTTGCCTGATTGGTGGATGGGTGTCCGCTGCGATGTACCGAAGGCCCTTCATGTCGATCCTTCAAAAGGCCTACAAGATCCAGATGTCTGAGGTTGACCAGGAGAGGCCAAAGACAGTGAACCTGCCAAGATCAGTTGCAGAGGAGCTCACCCTGTTGGCGGTGCTCTGCCCACTGATGGCTTCCGATGTTTCTGCTCCCCTACAGCCTCGATGCTATGCTACAGACTCTTCTGACGGAAAGGGGGCAGTCGTCTCGGCACCCGTAAGTGAGGCATTGTCCCGAGCCCTTTGCCGGTCTGGGAGGAAGAAGGCCAGTTATGCACGAATGCTGTCTAGGTCCGAGGCCATCCTCAAGAACATTGATGAGATGTATGAGGAGAGGCCAAGATGACATCGACCCCGAGAGACCAGTCGCTTTCAGGTTCCACTTCCTGGACATCTGCGGGGGAGCTGGTAAGGTTGCAGCAGCAGTTGCGAAATATGGTTGGGTTGTTGGGCCAGTCATTGACCTGGATAGGTCCCCGCATTTTGATTGTGGGGCCCTCCGAGTTATCGCCTGGCTTTTCCACCTGATTGAGTCAGGCAAGTTGGACTCCTTTATGATAGCACCTCCTTGCACCACCTTCAGCCCAGCACAGCATCCTGCCTCAAGAGGCTATGACAGACCCAGAGGATATGATCCACTTGACCCAAAGACCTTGCAAGGTACAACCATGGCATTGCGAGCCTTATCGTTGATGATGATGGCGGTCAGGTTCAACATCCCTGGGCTGCTTGAGCAGCCAAGAAGAAGCAAGATGAGAAAGCTCCCAGAGTGGGAATTGCTATGTTCGTGATGGGGCGCCTCTGAGTCAATCACCGCCTCGTGCATGTTCGGATCCATCCACAAGAAGGAGTTCGTCTTCCTTACTTCAAGCCTCGATACCTCTCTCCTGACTCGCACCTGCGATGGCCAGCACAAGCACATACAGAGCAAGTGGTCAAAGCCCTCAGCTGTTTACACCGATGAGCTGGCTGCGGCCCTGGGACAGTCTTTCGACAAGGCCCTCACGAAGAAGATCCGGGGGACCCAGTCCGTCGAGCCCAAGCTGAAAGGTCTTGAGAGCCCCCCTTTGCAATGACGTCCTACTGTCAGCCAAATGGAAGGTCGACAAAGTGTGGTCTTGGAGAAGCCCCAAGCACATAAACATTCAAGAGGTCCTTGCAGCTGAGAGACTGATGAAGGAACAGGCCGTCTCTTGGCCAAAGTCACGCTTCCCCGTTGTCATGGATTCAAACGTGGGCATGTCTGCCCTAGTCAAGGGCAGATCACCATCAGATGGCCTCCGACCCGCCCTGAGGAGGGCAGGGTCCACCATCGTTGCAGGAGCTTTGTATCCGGCCTACCATTTTGGGCCCACCAGACTACTACCAGCCGACCATCCTACCAGAGACAATGAGTTCCCTCCTCCATGCAGGAGCTGCCGGCCTCCTGAGGCGACGTGCACCGAGCTCTTACAGTTCTCAAAGGTTTCAAACCTGGCTCGAAAAGGGGCAAACTGGGTTCGCCTGGTTCTTCTCCTTTTGCAAGACCTGCCCCTGTGGAGCCAAAGTAAGGATTCCTGGAGGTTTGCTCATGTCAGTTACAAGCACTGCCCCTTCGGCGCCCGGGGGGCGGATTTCAGCCAGAAGGAGTTTGACAGCGCTTGTGGCTATCCCGGAGAAGGTCCTGCTGCTGGAGGCTCTCGAGTGCAGTTGATGCGTTGCCTTGCTTCCGCCTTTCCCCTTGGAATTCCAGCCCTGGTTAGACTTCTTGGGGCCCTTGCTGCCCTGGTTGGAATTTTTGGGGCCTGCATCAGCTTTGCCACTTTTGTCTTAACCTCTGCCTTGCCGAGGAAAGCTGTGCCTGTCCGTGTCCGTAGCCGTCCCCGGCCGCGCTCCTCTTCTCTGACCCTTTTCAGGCAAGCCAAGCTTCAGGCCCTCCTTTTGGCCATCTTGTTCCTGGAACACCCAGGCCTTGTAGCCGGCGCGCCTCGCCATGGACTGAAGCTGCAGCCCAGAGATGCTGCCGACCGCGCACGACAAGAGACAAGAGGTCAGCTAGAACTGCCTGATGGCAGACCGGTGCTGGGACAGACCCAGCGGCAGAGAGACAAATTGATTGGGGCCTTCGAAGAATGGCTTCGCTCGCAGGGCATCCTGCTGGATGAGATCCTCATGGTGGGGGCTCCTGACGTCGAGGCCCTCAACCTTCTGCTGGAGAGGTACGGCCGTGAGCTGTATCGAGCGGGACGACCGTACGGTCACTACAGTGAGACCGTCAATGCAGTGTCGGCCAAACGGCCAAGGGTACGGAGACTGCTCCAGCCGGCTTGGGACCTGGCCTATAGCTGGCTACGCCAAGAACCACCAGTACACCACCTTGCGCTCCCATGGCAGGCGATGCTCTCATTCCTCACTACATCGCTCTGCTGGGGTTGGTGCAGGGTCGCTGGCATCATCGCCCTATCGTGGGGCGGGATCACACGGATCGGAGAATCCGTAAATGCCTTCAGACGAGATCTGGTCCTCCCGTCTGATGTCAACTACACGATCGACTACGTGCTCCTTCAAATAGCTGGGCCAAAGACCCGGTTCAGATGTGCTCGCCACCAGATGGCAAAGGTGGATCAGCCTCAGTTGGTCAGGATCATCGTCACGGCCTTTGAGAACCTGCGACCTGACCAACGACTTTGGCCGGCATCGGGATCAACGATCCGGAGCCGTTTCCAACGCCTGGTCCAGGCGAACTCCCTCGACCACCTCCGGACGAAGAAGGGCCTGGACCTTGGCTCGTTGAGAGCAGGAGGAGCGTCATGGCTCCTGATGACCTCCGACAACCCAGACATGACAAGGCGCCGCGGGCGCTGGATCAATGCAAAGGTGATGGAAGTGTACGTGCAGGAAGCTTGGGCAGTTCAGTTTCTGCCACAGCTTCCAGAGTCCATCAAGGAGGGCATCATGGAAGGAGCTGGTTTGTTTCCGTGGGCCTTGGAGCTTGCGGAGATTTGGAAGAGGGCGGCTGTCCCGGAGTCAGCATGGCCCATCCTTTATCAGAAGGCGGCTCGAGACCTTGAGCAGCAAGAAATGGGAAGGCAACACCTCGAGAAGGAAGAGGCGGGAGATGGAGGGGCCGCTTTTGCCCAATGTGGGCGTGTGCACCCTTTACTGGATGCAGAAGAAAAGAAGTGCGACCAGCTTGATGAGTTGACCTTTAACTCAGAATGCCCTGTTCGCCGCTCAAGCTTCTCCCGCAAAGCCGCCCACCCGAGCCGCTTCTGATGCGGCCCCGGGGCCGCTTTTGCCCAATGTGGGCGTGTGCACCCTTCACTGGATGCAGAAGAAAAGAAGTGCGACCAGCTTGATGAGTTATATAATTCGTTCCTTGAGTCACCTGAACCCGGGAACCAAAACACCACAACAGTCCCGAAGTCTCGTGCCTGAGGCTGACTGCGCCCGGATCAAACACCAAGGTGCGCGAAGGGCCCGTGCGAACTGGGGCAGATGTTGCGTACGAAGGGCCAGGTGTACCTAATGTATACAGCTGTATACAAACAAGCTAGGCCTTCCACCAATTAGGTTTTAAGTGCGATGATGTGGCATGGCATGATGCTCTTGTTAAAACCACTGACATGGAATGTCATGATGTCGCTCTCCTACAGTGTGATCCTTGAGTGCCTCGCTTCGGTCACTTCTTTTTTTCCTCCAGCGGATGTCAGATGCATGGTCATACATGACTGACTGGTACCTATACTAATTACTTCGAAGGGAATGAGGAAGTTTCGGGTGTGTGGACCCCCTCCGGAATTCCATGGAAACTATACAGTATATCTAACCGTCCAACAGATGGCTTCTTGGACACTCCTTGACCATACTATAGACTATATTATAGTATATAGACACCCCCCCCAACAACGGCGGGGTCCTGGTATGAATTCCTTGATTCGCTGCCTCTTCCCCTTTTCATTCCTCCGCGACTCGTCGGACTCCTCCCTCCTCGGACTCCCCCGTGTCGCCCTCCTACCAGGTGGCCGAGCGCCTCGTGGGCCATGTACAGCGCTATTCGGAGAAAAACGGTCCGGGACTCGGTCGAGAAACCGATCGTCCATGGTCCTCCGCCTCACGAGGCCGTGAGGCCCGCACCCGGACCCGCGGTCTTTGGTATTTGTGGCGCGTTGGGAAGCGGGGACCCAGGCAGGGCAGGCGCCGTACATGGCCTTATGAAAACATGGAAACTTATGAATATGACATGTTTCGTTGTTTGCTTTGCATTCCTGTATGTTTGTATTGGATCTGAAGCTTAGATGCCACCATTGCCAAATTGTTGAAACAAGTGGCTGGAAATGATCCTGCACAACGTCAGAGTAGCACAACATATGATATAGATCTTTGTTCAGGTGTTTTAAGGTTCCTGGGTGCATTCCAAATTTGCTGATAATGTGTTAAATTGTGTACAGTATACATCATTACACACTGAAAGTAGGTCCAGTAAACCCCAGCTGACCACTCCACCGGCCGGTGCCTCCCACCCTCACAGAAGGTCTGTGGATCCATACCCAAACGCTCAAGCTGGAACTGGAAGATATGCCTCCATTGATCCCTTTTTGAGTATGCAACTATGGCAGTCCCATGGAGTGTCACGCTCTTCCGTGCCCAGGCTTTGGCTTCATCGCGTGCCCCGCTTGTCGGGATCAGTTTGGTCGCGATGCACAGCTCTTTCAGGAAGATTGGGAGGTGCAGCCAGTGCGCGGAGCGCTGAAACGCGGTGCGGGAGGTTTGCTGATGGGTCCAGTCCAATGTTCCAACATATTCAAGAGACACTGTGTGAAAAACTTAGAGAAGCTTAGAGAATTGTTCGCTGCTTCGGTGTTTGACTTCTGCAATTCCCCAGGGGATACAGTACTTTTTGTATTTGTGTTTTTGCTTTTGGAGGTTTCCAGCTCCATCTTGTCGCATGTGCACGTTCAATGCCTGCCCCTGCCCGCACAAACGGAGGCTTTGGAACTTCACGTGGGCAGTGCCGGGATCCCCGGTGCCCGATGGACACAAAGACTGCTTCATTGGCGGATCCATAAGAACCAGTGACAGTGGCTGAAGGACTAAGGGCACTTTTGTGTTGAGGAGTATGCATCATGACGAATCATTGCATTTTTCACAAAGTAACTGCCTGGAGTTCCAGGTTGGAGTGGCATCTATAAAGACCCCTCCATAAGTGAGGGGATGCTTTGTGCCCAATGCTGAACTCCGGGTCCGGAGATCGCCACGATGGTTTAATGGAGGGTAGGACAGGCGCCCAAAGTAAGGCTCCAACTCTCTCGATGGTCCGAAGGATTAGCTTCGTGTTTCATCCTGTGCACCAAGGCGGTTAGCTTCGTGCTCTCGTTTGAGGAGCGATTTCCATGTCCCAAGGGCAGGCAAGGATTGACGCACGTTTGTATCCGGAGTGCACGAGCGCGTGCCAAGTACATCCTGGACTTCTGGATAGATCTGGATGGCCAGATAATCACCTTTTTTGATCTATGAGTTTGAGTTGACAGAAGGCTGTTCTTGGCCCACGAGTTGCTTGAGATATCTGGGATTATCTGGCATAATTAAACTCGTGTCGTGTCCTTCCCATCTCCTGCCTCTCAGACGGGACGATCGGCAGGGAAGAGGTATGACCAGGGAAGAGGTAGGAATTCTACATTTAGTTTGATCAACATTTGCATGATAATCAGTGTATGTGCGTGTGTTAAAACATGATTTCATTCTGATAAAATAAACTGGACCTATTGGTGAGATGGAGCTCCTCGAGTTGCAGTTGCAGAGTATTACTTTTTCGTTGAGTTCCTGGAGATGCAGATATTTATTCGGGCGCGGCACATTCATAGATGGACTAACAGTTTAAGCTTGGCGGACCAGTTCATGCTTCCTTTAAGAGTTTTCTTAGTGCCCCTTTTCGTCAACCAACTAAACCAACTTATATAAGCAGAACAAACTAATCACATTCAAGGTTGTTACTTCAACAAAGTTCTTTGCAAAGAGCCGGCTAAGAACCCCCAAACAAACAAAATGGATGTATTTCCAACGATAAAATTCTAAAGCGTTTTTGCACTGGATAAATTATCGACTACCCTCCCATTGGATCCTCGTGGGCAACTTGCTCCTAACTACCTGAGGAAACGTACCTCTTCCCCTCTCCCACCCCTTCCTCGCTAGTTGGTTTGTCCAAGTCTCCATCTGAACGGCACACCTCACATAGTCGTGAGGCCCTGGGCGGCGGAGATACAGAAATTGGAGTTGGCTGCTCAGAGGGGCGGACTGGGTGGTAGGGGCGACGCCTGGTGGGGATTCACATGATTATGGTGTTGATTTGCTGGCAAAGTGCTGGTTCATGTGGTTCACTGTGATTCAATGGGACGCCTTTTAGGGCACCATGGTTAAAAGAACTACAATAGTCGTCTCATGGAACCAGTTAGAACTCTAAAACCTGCTGGTCCTTTGTTTATTCACATCCAATTTGCTTCACACCATCAAGCCTCAACAAAAATGGTGCAACAAAAAAAGGTCTCAAGGTCAAGGTTGTTTGTATAGGCCAAGCAGTTCAGTCACAAACAACCATTATCAGTCTTTATTGCCTGTGATTGTTGCAAGAGGATTGAGACTCAACAAATTTATACAAATATCTCCTCACTGTCTGAGTTCAGTCTTGTGCGGACACACCTTCTACACCAGCACCGCATGTCGCCGGGCCTCGGTCGCGGTCACCGAGGCAGTGAGCGGCTCGACGCTGCTCGGCTCGACGAAAAAGGACGTGTGACGCTCGACGAACCCGGCCGAGCGCAGAAGTCATCCGCCGACCGAGACGGGAAGAGCCATTGGCGTCCGCTGTACATTTTGGCTCGGAGAGTTGAAACATTTGCTTCAGGCATTTTGGGAAAAACAATTGCAACCCCGGACTTTGAAAGATTATTTTCGTCTGACTCTCGTACTTACTCCCTGGATCTCCCTGGTTTCAGTTTATCTAGCCAACTCGTAGGTCTGTGAGCCAACGTGTGGGTCTCCGGTGAGGAAAATGAGGACAATCCATCCACCCAGTGGAAATGTCGGAAAGACCCGGAGAGGTTGTCCTGTAAGATATCTTTGAGGTTGGCTGCTTGCTGATGATCGTGATGTAGACAAGCTATGCAAATAGATCGACTCTTTGCACTCGAGAGCGATGATCATTGATGCCATGTGTCCGTGATTCAATGAAGCGCGCGACGGTCGCGCGCACACGTCATGGTGCGCAGCCGTAAGCGGGTATGCGGCTCGAAGAGTTGCGAGGAGGATGAGGTGTGTTTGCTTCCCAAGAAGAGAGCTCGATTAGGCACGCAGATGCTTGGGCTTTGCAGAGAGTTGATGGAGATCTTTCTTTCGGTGCGTAACAATTGGTGTTCCCCCCCAAGGCACCGATCGTTTCAATGGAATGATGGCCTTTACAACGTTTAAACTCCAACCCTCCATGTACCAGAAGCTTCGGCCCAGAGGATACGGCCGGCTGGTGGGGCCCTGAAGAAGTGAAGGATTCCCATGTTGCTTCGGCTTCAAAAGTCTTCTTTTGCAACTTAGACTGGACACCTCAGTATACTTATTGCATCTTAGAGCCTTAAAGAACAGGATTTTATGGATTCTGAAAATCTTCTCTTAGGTCTTAAGATGTCTTTTGAACTCCAAGAACTTCAGCTCTTTTGACTCCAAGACTGGTTTTGTTTCTTCAACCTTTTCTGCTCGGCCCACCCGTTCCTGAGGGACTATGTCCTGGGATCCGCTCGCTTGGGTGAACTCAGGCGAGTTGCACAACGGCGTTCCACGGTTCCGCACGGACACATGGACAGACGTTCCATTCTCCCCGGCGTGGAGGTTCCAGGGGTTGGCTTGGATGTCTTCCATGTTCTTCTCAAAAAAGGGGATCCCAAAATGACCAGACTCACCGTCTTCTCGGAACTTCCTGAAAAATCCCGTGGAATGGGACACACGGGGGAGAATGACCCACAGGGAAGTCACAAACACCAGACCCGTCGATGGCGGGAACGCTCCCGCTGAGGTCACCGATGGTGACAAAAGCGGTCACCGTGACACCAATCCTGACGTTCGGGCACTGCGGATGGTTTGTGGGACGTGGTAATTTTGTAGACTATCTTCCAGGTTTGCAAAATTGTTGTATATGACAAATTTCCCAACTTCTTCCACTCCGGCCTATGGCAAGGACAGAAGTAGAGGAGCGCAGCTTTGAGTGATTTTTGGCACGTGGTCTCAACCGGTCTGTACCATTTCGTCCAAAGTGGAACCTCATCCATCTCAACATCAAACCCATCGGGATATGTTCGGTTCTTCTACTTCTGCCACCACACCGTCGCGCCCGAACCCTGCCCCACCGTCGGGTCCGAACCGGGTGGACGCTGCGAGGGACTCCTCCTGTGCGGCCCATGAGCTGTGCGCCCAAGCTGGACGCCGGGGCGCCCGCGCGCGGGGGCGGCTGCGGGCCAGGCTTTGGGCAGATGGATACCTTTTCCTGAGGCCAGGGTGGATTTTTTGGGATTAGATGGGTGAATGCTATGTGTCTTCTTCAGAGCCATGGAACCTGGTCACTGAACGTTGATGGGGGCTTTCTCCAGTCAAGCACTGTGGGAAGACGTGTTGTTGAGGTGTAAGGTTCCAGTCTTCTCCTCAGAGTGCAAGCCGGTGCCCAGGGGCCTTTTGCCATCTTCAGCGGTGCAGAAAGCACGGCTGTCACTTCTTCGTGGTTTGCAAAGCTTGGGGCTACTGGCCAAAGATACGCCTTTGGAAGAAGGGAAGGCGGGATTAGTTTTACATGCGGATTTTCCGAGGAACCGAAAGCCGGAGAACGCACCGGATGTGACAGATGGATGGCAGCGGCATGCAGCGGCACGTCCGTTTTGGACCGTGGGTGAGAGTCCGGTAGAAGGTTTGGAGAAACGATCACAGCAGAGCAGGTATCAAGGGCAGAGCCGGTGGGCAACGGCTCAGGAGCTACGAGGGTATCTCACATTCAATCAGGCAGCCGTTCGGAGCGGCCCAGGGAGTTCCCCCAAACTTCTGCTGGTCAGTCAGCCAGGTGTTGCAAATCCGCGAAAGGAAGAGATGCAACAACACCGACGCACGGACTTTCCAAGATAGGTTAAGTGACCTTATAAGGGCCCGTCACCTGGGATACCTATATGAGATTGTCTATAACGAAAACTAGGGTCCTTCAAACTGTGGGGTTTTGAACTCGGCTTCGGGTGGTGCAGTTCTTTCCTTTCGTCGAGTGAGTGGCTTCACCCTCCTCCAGTCCAGACTTCGGCTTCGCCGAAGTCGCAGGCCGCGCCGAAGTCGGCGGGAAAAGCTGCGGATGCGACAGCGGATGTCCGAAGTCTGGCATCTTCGGAGGTCCTGGCACTGCTGAATCACCCAGAGCCATGGCGATATGGGACAAGGGAGGCATGTGGCAGCACTGAAGTATGTAGCATAGAGCCTGACAATGAGAGGAATTGGTTGGGCGATTTTGGGAAGATGTGGCTTTTTGCTACCGATCCATGTGCTTTGGGATTCCGAGATTTCGGTCTTCTACATTGCAACCTCCGAACCAAAAGAATTAATGCTTGGTGGCTACACCTTGGCAGGTCGACATGGAATGCAAATGAATGCAGCAGTGGTTATAAGGTCATGATAATTGTATAACACAGTATCACACTGATTTGGTATTGGGAACATTGATTGAATTGAACAGGGCACCTGAACTTGCTTTCAGGTTCTGTTGTGAAGTCGAAGTAATTGAAGTGAGGCAGTCTTCTCATTTGCCTTGTTTTGATTCGCAGCACCATGTTCAATCCACCTTTCCCAACCACGCCAATGAACAGGAAGGAACATCGAAAGCAATCAAGACTCTAAGACCCAATGTGAACCCGATTATTCTGTACCCAACATACCCCACCAACCCCACACCTCCCACTTCGCCAAGCAAGACTCCTAAACACACCTCCTATATAATGTTATAATCACCCCCCGTTTGGTGTATATACCCAATTATATCCCACCACACATGACTGCACACACCATCACCCACCAAAACCATCAAAAACATTCAAAAACCGTTGCAATCACCCAAGGACCTCTTCCTCTTCTTGGATCACTTCTTGAACTCTCCCGCCCAGCCCGTCTTTGACTCCGCCAACCTCCGTGCGGTTCTGCCCCAGCAGAGCACCGGCTTCCACACCGACTCGGTCCCTCGGTGCTGGAGCAACGAAAGGAGTCGGTGTGGTTGTATCATGGGATGAGCTGGGTGTGTTTGAAAGAGGCGGGACAGCACAATTTGATGGTTCTTTTCATGTTATTTCTTATGTTAGTTAATTCATGTCCAGTTACATTCTGATAACAAGACACATATAGAAGCAAGACAAGTTAGATTGCCCATGAAGGCTCCGAACACCAAGGCATCCTGACAAATCACAGTGATTGAAGCCTGGTCATTCATAGTTTCAGGTGTTTCATGTGCCCCAGTTTCATCCAAGGTGATTTCAAATATATACTCAAACGATCAAAGCTAACTTATACACCAAGGTTTCGGAAAGCTCATCACCAGCAGCACATGACAGCATTCATGGGTATGACAGCATTCATGGGTATATGATACGGTATCTCACCTGTGTAGTCACTTAACGTGCACAAAATGTCAAAAAACATATGCTAGCCGGCAGTTGAACAGCATCGATGATGCCATCGAATTCGCAAACAGAACAAAAACAATCACTTCTAGAGACTGCTTTTTTAGCTCGATCGCGAAAGGTGGGTCAAACTCGATGGGCTTGCATAATATGTGTTCATCCATTTCTTCTACCAAGTGTCCCTTCCCAGGCAGGATGTCAGAGGATCACTTCGGGACCAACAAAGCCTCCATCTACGGCGGTCCCCCCCCTTTTTGGCCGCAACATCGCCACTAGTTCCTCTACAGCAGTCCATTCCCACTCGTTTCGACTCGTTCCTTCGTTCAGGTCTACATGGGACGCCTCATGCAGCAGCCAACCGAGCTGCTGGCGGTTTGGATCCCGGTGACAGAGATTCCCTTAGCCACGGGGCAGCAAGCGGTTTGGTCGAAGTTCCGTTGGTGTTTGGTTGTTTCAATCGTGGGATGGCTGGTTGGGTGGTTGGTTGGCCAGTCCGTTGGCTGTTTGGTCCAAATTGCTTGCTTGGGTCTTTGCGTGAAGAGCCTGGCTTGGCGAGGTGATCATCACGGGGTGAAGTGAGAAACCGTCCTTGCAAAGACATAGATCATAGATCCATCAAATCTTAGATGACCCAGCCCAGCAGGGTGGCCGCCGTTGAAGGCAGATGACCAGGATCTTCTGGGAGTTTGGGGTATGGAATCTGATGGAATCTGGCTTTCTTTACGACCGAGCTAAGTGGCTCAACCAATCGCTTCCGTTCCACGCCGAGGAGATGGGTGGTCTGGTGCTGTGCCGGGGCTCCAATTCGCACCCGGGCGCCTGGGCGGTAAAAAGCGACGCGAAGCGCCGGCCAGCGAAGCATCCAAAGGGCCTAAGTATATAGTGGCTACTACTTCGTTCATGGTTTGAACGTTGTGCTAGGCACATGTTAGGCACATGTTAGGCCAGTGATCAAACTTTGGCCAAGTCTCACCCAGCCCTTCATTCCAACAGCTTCCTTTACTCACCAGCCATGACCTGGAGCCAACAAAGATCGGCGACCATTTCTGTGAAACCACTGATTCTTGAAGATTGAAAGGTCCTGCAACACTGATTCATCTTATAACCGACATCTTGACAGTCGAAGCATGTCGAACAACTCTTTGACAAGATCTCACCGGGCTATTCAAAGTGAGCTCTTGAGGCCCTGGTGAACAGGGTCATTCCACATTCATAGGGATTCGATTAATGCGATGACAAACTGGAGAAGCTTGTTCCTGGGGTTTCCTTTCAAAAAAACCCAACGAATTCCACCACTTGAACACCCCTCAAAAAAGAACACTGACATCTACAACAAAATCACATCCCCACCTCCAAACGAGCCGAAGCAGTCCCCGCCGACACCCGTCTCCAAGCAGTGCCCACCGTCCCAACCACCCGCAGGCTTCGAGCACTTCCGTGCGACCTATGGACGCTTGGACCTGGACGAAGCTGACGTGGGTGGCAGCGGTTGGTTCACCGAAGACCCCCGCGAGGCGCAGCGCTCCCTGCGGCGCGGCAACCGTCGACCGGTCGACAGTTGGTCGGATTCGGAGCGCACGCATGTAGTTAAATACGACAACATATAATACAATACTGTTAATATTACTATATAGTAATACATGTATTACTCAGCTATACTGAGCTTGCTTTTGCTGGAGTTAGAGTTGTTCTTCATTTTGGCAACATGGGTCTTGCAAGGGGAGCTTCCCGGTCGAGAGGTGGCCAACCATCGACTTGACACGACCGCCACCTGGGACGGCCATGGAACGGCATACGGGTGGTTGACCCGGGTGGTTGACCCGGAGGCACACATATAGGGTGTGTGTGTGCCATTACCAGTAACAGCTGGTAAACAAATTTGTGTCACTATCATTGACTATCATGGGGATTTGTTGGCAACCTTACCATCATCCACTGGGCCATGGTCATGGGATATACCCAAGGCATGCATTCACATGAATTGCTTGGGATAGTGTTCAGCATCTCACCTGTGTCGGAAACTCGTGCCTTTGGTCGGCAGATCATCGCCTTTGGCGGGCAGATGGAGACAGCCCACTTCCGGCCAGGCAGGAAAGTCACTGAAACCATGGCAGGGAAAGGAACCCCGCCCATTGTAGAGGTGTGAATGTTGAGGTGCGGATTGAATTGCAACAAAATTGGAGATAAAGTAGTGGAACAACACAATGCCTTTTTACTGGGTGAGCAGTCATTTCTTCCCACATGCAAACAAGCTAAAATGCAAATGATTAGCTAGCCCCAACCCCTACTACACACAGCTCAGTCCCTTGACCAATTTTTCAGCGCAATCGCCTCCCGCTTTCTTCTCCAAAAGAACTCAGAAAGCTCATCCCCATGCCAGAAAATCCACTTATGAGTCACCTGGCTATGTCTCAAAGATCGGGTGCCACCCACCTCCCGGCCTGGTACTTCTGGCCATATCTTCAGCCACTACGTATTCAGCAGAAGCCACAAACACCTATTTGGATGCAGCCACACTCACAACTACGTATTCAGCCCCACACACTCAGAAAGCTCATGCTTGGCCTTCCTTTTTGGAAGAAGAGCCTCCCCCTCCGGAGTGCAGGAGATGTGGTCCTCTTCACCATGCACAGCATCCACGGGAGCTCGGTGAATTGCACCGACCGCTATCGGCTCTCCATGGACTTCCGTGTCCGGGCCGAGCGTGTTTCAGACGTGGAGCAGTCTCAGAAGAAGGGGAGGCCAGAATGAGACCCGAGGGGAGGAGGGAGGGGCTCTTTTAAGAAGGTTCAGTTGATTCAGTTGTTTGAACGGACCTTTTCTGGATGTGCTTTGTTCTTTTCACGAGTTGACTGATCAACACCGAACACCCCTACAGACGCAAGAAATGGATCAGGCCATGTTGCTCACCTTCCTCGTGGGTAGAAAACCGCTTCTTCAGGGGCCGAACAAAGGGAGGGTGAGCGAAGGGTCGAAGTACCTGGGCCCAGGGATCTGGAGCCAGTGTTGTTGTCAGGGAAGGTGTCGTTTTGGGGCACTGTATAAGTAGACTATATATAGTAGACTCTACTATGAGCGTCCATAGCTTGCCTAGGCCTAATCATCCTGATAGGTAAGCAATCCTTCTTCAGTTCACCTCGGACAACTTTACTCGATGTGTTATACTTTTTTTAACCAACTGGATTTTTGGACCCATGGGGGAGAACTGACAACATGGACCCTGCATGAAGAACTGAAGCCCAAACCAGGCTTTTAGACTTCGTGACATTTAACTCCAGTAGTTTCCAGACATGTCCAGACTGCCTCCCCCTGGAATTCAGCAGAAGATTTCTGTACTTCTGAATGTGACGCCGCGCGTAAGTTTGATCCAACTGCGCGCTTCGAGGGGGAATACAGTACAACAGAGGTCCCAGCACGACTGCTCCCGAGTTGGTCCGGGTCGAAACCCGGAGGCACCAGGGACAGCCCTCGGCGGAAGGTGATTGGTTGCAATTTGATTTGTTGCCATTGGCCTATACCAGAGGTTGAAGAGCCCTATAGACTATCCCATATGGGTACCCCAGTAGGGCGAGTAGGGTCCCTTGTCAGGTCACACAAAATCTCTCTTGGTAGTCTTAGCTTTTCCATGCTCTACCAGGTATATCAGCCGGGCAACATGATCAAATCCCCATCCTTAACACGAATCATAGATCCTGGTTAACATTAATATCTAAGTGAGTTGGTAGTTGGTAGATTAACTTGTGAGTTGGAAGATTCAAATCCCCAGCTTTACCATCTCTACCAACTCACTTCACCCGGATCTAAGAAAGTTCCGGAATTCTGATCCATCGGTCCATCGGAGAACCTCACAGGCAAGTCTCACCAACCGTCACCCCTGCAGTCACTGCAGTTGGTCTAAGGAAGCAAGTCCACCTCTACCACCAAGCCTTAGAGGCTGTGTGGATCCATGGGGATGCCTCTTGAGGTTCCCCATGAAAGCATCTCCAAGCCGAAGACGGTCCAAGCCTCGTCCGTGTTCGACCAGACCCGATGTCCTGGGAGTCGCCACTTCTCCATGGCGAGGTGGTCGCGCTTGCGACATGACGCAGCAGAGTTCCCACGGACCATGGAAGAGGCCCCGAAAGATGTTTGGCCCTTCATGCGTGGTCCTGGACTCTGTTTCCCGCCCAAAAACTCCTTCTCAGACCCTGGATTTGGATTTGGAGAATGGCTGGGGTAGGTTCGAAGGCTAGACCTGAGGAGCTTGCGTCCAAGTTAGGTGTTTTCCACCTGAATAGGCCGAGTTGAGGCAGCCCCCAGCAGCTATGGTATGAACAAACAAAGTTGTTGTTGCTGGTGCACCACCACATCATCCCTGATCAATGAGGTACCACATATATATATATATATATAATGGGGTGTGCCGTAGTAAACTATTCCAGGTCCAACCGTGAGTTCATGGAATATTTGTTTAGATTATGTTTGATCGACTGTTTTTCAACAAGGGGTATAAGGGGGTATAACTGGGGGTATGACCTGGAATATTTATCAACATAGGATTCCTACCAAGAAGTTCAATGAATGTTCAAACTTTTCAACAGGTATGTCTCAAGCCGGTCAATGTAATTTATTAGCGAATTCGCACAGATCTAAGATGATCCAAGTTGGATTCCAGTTTTTTTTAATGTTGCAGGAATCACGTGGCATCCAAAGTGGGAAATCTGGAATCAAAAAAAACAAGCAAAAAAAGAGTGCGTCAAACGTGAGATGGATTGAGATTGCCTTGAGATTTTGGATACCTGGTATAATCGAACATTCTTGGACGATCTATGAACGCAATTTCCTTAGAAATATTTATTGTGATCATGTGCAACCATGCTGGAATAATAAACATACCATAAATATTCTGCATGTGAATGAGTTCCGGAATATTTATTGAATCGATGTGCCACCATGCCAGAATATTTCCGAAAATATTCCAAGGGTTCTGCACGGGGGGGGTTCTCTAAGGGCCCCTCCGTTATATATATATATATATACAATGAACCACTTACTAATGACGTGATCAAGCCAGAGCCACTCGTAGGATTCGAAGACGATGTACTCGTCCCTCAAGAGGTAACTCCGTAGCTGTCCGGCACGGAACGGTCGGAGCGTTGACTCCTTTGTCAAAAGGTCCAGGGATGTCCAGGGTCAAGCACCTAGAACGATGTGCCTCTTGGAAACACATCGTTTTCTGTGTATTGTAGAGACTTGATGAATAAATCTACCCATTTGGATTCAAACGCCTCTTGATCCGGGGGGTTGATTCATATACACGCGCTTTACATAGCAGTGGTTATTGAGGTTCTGTTCTTCCACACACCGAGTCACAGTGCCAGGCCAAAGCAGCCTGGAAGCTACTGCCCTCAGGCGCCTCGCTTTCTCGGTCCCGCCACTGACAGCAGTGGTGGATGATAGTATGGGGGAGTCCAAACGGAAGTTCAGGGCTTGACTGTTGAGGAACACACCCCAAGGGCCCCCCCCCCCCTCCCAGCTGGATGCTCCAAGGATCTTAATGGCTCCGACCTGGCCTAGTAGCTTCTTGTTCCTAATAGCGCTGGCCTCCAACCTACTTGCGATGGCCTCGGTGCGAGCATCGCGTCCTTGTTACGGTCGCTCCTACCTGGCCCGCCTGGAGCCAGGCGCCTCCTCCCGCAGCTGCGGAGCGTCACCGGAGCTTCGAAAAGAGGGGACGACTCGCGAGGGGATTTCTGCGTGGGAGATGGGTTTGTGAAGGACAACCACCAAGAGTGCTACATCAAATCCATTTAAGTCCGCTCTTACAAAACACATCGAACCATGTTTGGAAGGAAAACGATTTGAGTCGGTTACACCCTAAAAAGGGGTGGCAAACCAAGTTGCTTCACAAACGGTTTGTGCTGCTATTGGAAGCCATTTTGCTGCGATGTAATCCGTAGCAGGTGGGAAACTTTGTTCCACAAAGAGTGGCCTGGAATGACACGGGGTGCCCCCAAAACAGAGGGCCCAATTCCCAAAAGCCTTTTGACCCTGTTGATTTGAGCTTCATTTGACTATGCCATCCTTTGGGTTCTGAGGGCCCTCCGAAAAACCGCGGTTTCTAGTTCTATGAGACCGACCACAGGGGGGTTGCTGGGCTTCAGAAGCTTGTTGGAAGCGCCAGTCGGAGGATCCCGTCAGGGTGGGTTTTTGGCTGCTGTTCCACCCTGTCAGCGCTGTGTATTTTTTTTGAGAGTCTTCAAGAAGTGGAGAACTTTCCCACTGGTTTCCCCCACAGAGACCGTCCTAAGCAAATCCGGTTGCTTGATCCTGGGTTTTCCTCTCGAGCTTCCGGACCCCTTCGGGTCAAACTCGTGGTTCCAATGAGCAAGATCATTGGTTCTCCTGACTCGTGGGAACTGGAATCCATGACTCGTGTTTCTCCTGAAGTACGTGGATCACCTGCCAGGACCTTCTGTCAGGATTCGTGTCTTCAACATGAGCATTCGAGACCTCCTTTGACACCTGATGGACACTTTGGAGCACAGCGTCCAGTCATCGTACTGTACTTGGGGAGAGAAACTCCGCAGTTGGTGTTTTATCCATTTGTTACCAACTCCGCAGAGTTCACTGTTTTCTTTGATAATACATAGTAGATATCGTACCATAATTAGTCCTTATCAAGATTTGGAGACCAATTCAAGAGTGGTAGTGTTCACCTTCAAGTTTCTTCAAAGTTGCCTCAGACCTGTGCCGAGAGGTTGGTATTGGTGGTTGAGCACATTCAGTTGGATGCACATCCATGTGCCACTTCGCTGCGATTCGGTCACTTCGCAGTCTAATTCAAGGCAAGTGGGTGCAGACTTCAACAGATTGTAAGAAGATGTAAGAATCAAACAGGTGTCCGCCTCCAGATCTCAATAGGATTTGAGGGCTACGCCTATTGAGTTCATTGTCTTGACTTGTCCTTCTGACCTTCTATTGAATGTGTCGGTCTCGCAACAGATCATGTCACTGGCCCCACAGAAATCACATGATATTCGATCCTTCACCAACGGTGCTATGTTGTCCGGCGTGTTACACAGACGCACCGTTCCACGGATGCACGGATGCCCACGTCGCCATGGAGTTGGCGTGCATCGACGATGACTGCAGAGACATGCGGCGAGACATGCGCAAGGAGCTGGAAGAGTGGAGGGCGGCCAAAGGGAGAACGAGGGGCCGCTCGGGCGTCGATTGGAGAGTGTGGTTGTTTTGGACCTCGATGGCCTGACCGTAGCGGTGTTGGTTGATTGGGAAGGCCCTGTTCGTGTAATTACGTAACTGGTACCGGCTCTCTATTTGGCCCGTTCGGAGAGTTTGGTTGCCTTTGCCACTTGTTTTGGACATCCCATGAAATATTTACATAATTATATATAATTATATATATATATTTGGTACACCCCCAAAACCTACCTTTTAGACAAGTTCATGTTTGGAGATGATAGTCTATCAGTCAATTGAAAGGGGAATTGATATGTTTTTTTATTGTATTTCAGAAAAGGACGTTATGCAGGTGTGTGTTTTCCAGTGTTCTCGAAAATGCTTGTTTTAGGACTTTGCATGTTGAATGTGTTCAGACATTGAGGACGAGACCTCGTAGTTGTTGGTAGGTGCTCGTTGTGTGCTCGTGAGTAGTAGTCTTCCTAGTTCACTGGATTTGACAAAATAAATGGGTTTGCTTTTTGGTGGTATATCCTTTCTTCTTTTTTGCCGACCCCCCCCACAGGTCACAGGGTGAATGGCATGAAGCTCCCACAGCTCACCCGCACAGGTCAAAGGGTGAATTGTATTAGCATCACAAGTGTCATTAGCATTGCCATTGCCATTAGCATAACCATTGCTACAAGTCACAGAGTGTGTGGCCTCAACCTCCCACAGGTCACAGGGTGATTGGCATCAAGGTCCCACAGCTCACCGGGTGAATGGCATTATCATCACCATTGCATTTGCATTGCCATCACCATTTGCACTACTATTGCCGCAGGAATTGGCATTGCCCTTGTGATCTCTATTGCCACAGGTCGAGGGTGAACGGCATCAAGCTCCCACTCTCACAGGTCACAGGGTGCATAGCGCCCACAGGGAAAATTGCGTTCTGGTGAAAGGCATCAAAGTCACACATACCATTGCCACAGGTCAAGGGTGAATTACCATTACCAGTACCAGTAGCATTGCCATGAGCACTACCATTGCTATTGGCGTCAGCATCAAGCTCCCAGAGGTCACAGAGAAAATGGCATTATGGTGAATGGCATCAAGGTCCCACATAGCATTGCCACAGGTCAAGGTGAATGGCCATTAGCAGTACTATTTGCCTCGACAAGAGCATTTCCATTGCTATGAGCATCAGCATTAGCATTGTCATTAGCATTCCCAGCGCCATAAGCATTAGCATCAAGCTCCCACACGGGATGGCATTACCGTTTGCATCAGCATGGTGAATGGCATCAAGTTCCCACAGCTCATCCCATCACTATTGCCATTGGCATTTCTATTGCCATCAGCATCACCACATGTCAAGGGTAAACAACCATCATTAGCATCCATTGGCAGCACCATTACAATTGGCAACTCCATTTGGATTCCCAGTGCCACAACTCAAGGGCAAATGGAATCAAGCTGCCACAGGTCACAGTGCACATATAGGTGCATAGCTCCCACAGGTCAGATGGTGAATGGCATTCCATAACCATTGTCATGAGCATAACCATTGCCATTAGCATTGCCACACGTCACAAGGTGAATAGCCATTACCATTACCATTAGCATTGCCACCGCTATTGGCATCAGCATTGGCATTGCCATTAACATTGCCAGTGCCACAAGCATTAAAAATAATATTGGTTGCAATCAGGTGTAAATTGCTAGCATTCAGCTTTGGAAACTTTCTGGAAAAAAAATGCTCCGCTACCACGTGCAATACTTGCTGGCATGGCAAAGATTCAGTCTTTGAGTCAGCATTTTCATTGTTTGAAAGAACCCACACTGCTTCCAGTGAAGGAGTTGAATCACTTTTTGGGCCACATGCCACAGGGAAAATTTCGTTATGGTGAAAGGCATCAACGTCCCGCATACCACTGCCACAGGTCAAGGGTGAATGGCCATTACCAGTACCAGTAGCACTGCCATGAGCACTACCATTGCTATTAATTAGCATCAACATCAAGCTTCCACAGGTCACAGGGAAAATGGCATTATGGTAAATGGCATCAAGGTCCCACATAGCATTGCCACAGGTCAAGGGTGAATGGCCATTAACAGTACTATTTGCATTGCCATGAGCATTATCATTGCTATGCGGTTCAATTTGTGTTCTGAAATCTCACCAAATCAATGCAAATACCAGTGCAATTGTTCAAAAGGTAGGTATCTTTTTTGGGGGGGTGCAGCTTATATATTGTTATATCATGAAATCACTGAAACTAAGGAATCTGGCGGGAGATGTTTTGTGGTATAACCCCCTAAGATGGGGAATCTACAACGTCCCTGTCTAGGAGAAAACATGGTGCACTTGCTTTCATTGGATTCTGGCAGGAACCGATGTCAGAGCTGAGAGAAACCTTAAGTTTCATCAAACAAACGTTCCATGATACAGGTAGCAATAGCAAGGTTGTACCAGAAGTTATACTCAACTATCAAAGAAAGTTCAACCATAAAAGGGTCAAAACAATCGATCTCTGGGGGCCTTCGTCATCCAACTGAGGCAAGGAAAATGTCCCGGCGCCGAGCTCTCCATGCAGCCCAGCAACACCACTGACGCCCCGGACCCCACGCCAGCTTCCACGAGAGCTGAAGAAAGCGCATGTCTTGGAGTTTCCGCGCGAGCTAAGCTCGCGCGAGCCCCGAATAGGCGGGGGTACTGATTGGGAACTGATCGAAAGATGGACATGACATTAAATGGGATGTCCTAAGTTCTTTGGAAGATAAATATTAAGATGACCACGTATTTGCTAGATTTCTAGATATTCTGGAGACTTCAGATACAGCATCCAAAAATGTTTGTATCATAGACAATCATAGACATATATATATATATAGTTGCATTCGTTGGTTTGTAAGCGCATATTGTTCCAAGTATTTGTTGTTCAGGTTTCAATTTGTTTCATGTCAATTTTTGTGGAGTGCAGTACAACATGTCTGGCAGAATTCCAACGACAAGACACCACCTGCTGTACCTCATGTATCCCTCACAATTCTTGGCTGTGTTTCTGCAAAAAACAATTTGCTTTATATTGCTTTATCGTGCTTCGGAACAAACCCGGTTTATTTTTGTTCCCATTGTCTCTATAGTAGTGGAGATGGTCCATGGAGGTTGGTCTTTTTGTATCGGGCATTTTGCTGAGTGGCGTTTTGCTCAAACACCTTGCTGGGGTCAACTCAGCAAAGTTTTTCGTGAAATCGTCTTGGAGGTTAAAGTAATTTTGGAGGTTGAAGTGATGGGGCTTGGAAATTATGGTTGAAGTGAACATTGTCAGACTTGAGCAAAACTCTCATTTATGTTTCCCTCAACGTGCAATCAACGACCCTTGAGCGATGGGAGTTGTGTGTGGCCAAGACTAATTGAAAACACAGCAGAATGATGGTGAGTCTCCCCCTTGCAAAGGAAGCATTTGTTAGCATGTGTGGGTTCCAAAGAGGGATCCCTGTCCCTGTCTCCACGCTGCATGGTGCTCCCAAACATCCACCAGTCCTCCTTCAATGCAGGCCTGAGCCCAACACCTTTGGGCGAGCGCTTTGCCACACCCCCGCGTCACCACGCGCCGCCGCCCGCGCCGGCGCTGGGCGCGCCGGTGCCGCGTGACCCGGCGCTGGGCGCGGCGGTGGCGGCCGC